GCCAACTGTTAGGCTACTTACTCTTGGTTTGTTTTGAATTTTGCGCAAAGCTACTCGAGGGTTATCTGCTCTAGCCGTCCCTAATTTAGCAATGATAGACTAGAGGAAAGGTAGGTAGTCAACATCACCAACCGCCAACTCTTAGACTACTTTTTTTTACCAGCGAATAGTGGGATTGACTATCACATTATAACACTACCACGGCTGAAAGGGCGAGCATGTTCGATGACGGGGATCCAAACTCGTATCCCACAGATTGGTAGTCGAGTTCCCTAATCACCAGATTATGCCAAGCCACATATCGTTTATATAGGCAAATTGTCGTTATCTTGTTTTCGGGTTTAGTATTGTCAAAAAGTATCGGTTGCCGTAATAATCCGTTTAAGGCTAAAAAAGTCTATTTAGTAATTAAAATCAGTTTTGACTGAATATGCTTATACTCACATTCGTCTCAATAAGTTCATTACCAGTTTGAAGTTAGAAGCGTGTAAAAATTTGTAATGGATTGCTTACAATTTTTGTTTCTTTAAGCACAAAGCTTCAAAATGGGCTACCAGCATTCTGTACACCACAAGGAAACGAATCCCGGATTCTAGCGTTGTATGTCCGTAAACGTACTTCTGACTCACTGGGAACAATTAATTAAGGGGAATGTGGTATTTCCAGGTAAACGTGATTTAAGTCAACTTCGTTAGGCCTCATGGTCTTTCGTGCTTTCAAGCTTCAGTGTTTCATACCCCAACAAACTGATTTAATCATTTTGCAACAATGTTGTACGTGGTATTAATATTCTAAGGAATTGGTTTTCTTTGTTACTTAACCTTGAAAGAAGTAACTTAATAGAACGTTAAAATAAAGCTTTGATGTTTTTATTTTCTGAAATATACCCGCCTACATATGGGAAGTCCCTAAAATGTGTTCGAAGTTTTCTGTTGTTCATTTTGAATTGTCTCTAACAAAGGAAAATTTATAATCGCTTCCCACTGCTTTCCTTCAGTGTTATTCATTAGATTTTTGACGTCCATTTATACATCTTCTTCCTTGTATTTTATAGCATTTCAGTATTTCTTATTATAAACGATTCAATTCTACAATATCGATCAAATTTATTATGATGGCTATTTATATATATAGTATATTTGTATTTATGTCTTACAAGTTGGTCTGTTAAAGTGTTTTCATTGTTGTAAGTATTCGTTAAGCCTGAATTTGTCTGACAGACAAGTTGATACTAGCCTTACTGAAATCACATAATCGAATCGGTGTTAGATGAGAATTAGATTTTACGAGCGTTAAAAATTCAAAATACTAAAGAAGTAATTTCAGTAATAAACTAAAGTATTTTGAATTCTGGTTATTACTGAATACAACATTTTCCGGATTTTTCATGTATTACGATTACAAACATATCTATTCTTTTGAAATTTTCAAAATGCACTTGATTAGAATTCCACACTAGAAAGATCCTAGCTTGATATTGTTTACATCAACCAAAACCGTATATTCACAGTTACATCTAAACGCATTAAGAATGTCCAATATATGTATTTTTTATTAAGTAAACAAATACACTTAGTACGTTATGTTAAAGCGATTTTGGAGCATCACTAGGTCCGGTCATGCTCTGTCTGACTACCTACTGTACATCTTGACAATAGCTCTGCGGCATAGTTTCCATTGCAAAGGTTTCGTCGTAAGGCGATCATATCACGCTCAAAGCACACTCCTCCTCCCTACTTGCATTGCATAATCCATCTAGAGTACAAGGACAACGGATTTCCTGCGCAAGTTTCATCAGTTCAGTCCCATAGAAATCCATAGGCGCTGTGTCCAGCAACTTAATTGGTATGTCTTCGTATAGAATAGCGTGACTACCCGTATCTTTCTCTAGCTGCTCGAGGTAATCAACGATTGAACGGAAATTACGACTGGAAGCCTTATCTTGATGAACCCTTTCCCTGTTAGATTCGTTTATAGGCGGATGTCCTTCTTGACAATGTTTCATGCTATTGCCTGGAAAACATGTACAGTTTTGCGATTGATCTTTGTGTTCGTAAATTCTCACCTGTTACAAGACGCAGCATTTTGCTTACCACGTCTGGAGTACGACTTATTGCAGGTGTCTTTCTTGATTTCCTGGTTCACCCAAGTTGATCCATATTAATATCATTAAGTACAAGGGATATCCCGATCATGGAAATTATAAATCCCCGATCTGAAAACATTTTTATCATCTGAATATATGAATATTTTCCTCGGAAAAGGCTGTTACAAACCTTTACCAAAAGATATCAATTTTCGATGGCATCACGCTACCTACGAAATGCCAAATAATGTCAAAATATAGTCCTGCTATATTCCATTGCAATGCGACTAAATATATGTTGTGGTTGTATGTGAATTGTTGATTTGCATATTCAATTTTTTTTACATAACGTACTCAATCCTTTGGTTATGAATTTCGCGCAACGCTACACGAGAGCTATCTGCACTAGCCGTCCCTAATTTAGCAGTGTAAGACTAGAGGGAAGGCAGCTAATTATTACCACCCACCGCCAACTCTTGGGTTTCTCTTTAACAACGAATAGTGGGATTGACCGTCACATTATAACACCCCCACGGCTGAAAGAGCAAGCATGTTTAGTGTGAGGGGGATTCGAACCCTCGGCCCGCAGATTGCGAGACGAGCGCCCTAATCACCTGGTCATGCCGGGCACAATTTAAATAATAATCGAAAACCACCTGGTAATGCTGGGCCCAAGGTAAATAATAATCGAAAACCACCTGGTAATGCTGGGCCCAAGGTAAATAATAATCGAAAACCACCTGGTCATCCCGGACACAAGGTAAATAATAATCGAAAACCACCTGGTCACCCCGGGCCCAAGGTAAATAACAATCGAAAACCACCTGGTCATCCCGGGCCCAAGGTAAATAATAATCGAAAACCACCTGGTCAGGCCGGGCACAAGGTAAATAATAATCGAAAAACCACCTGGTCATGTCGGGCCCAAGGTAAATAATAATCGAAGACCACCTGGCCATGCCGGGCACAAGGTAAATAATAATCGAAATTTTAACTCGTAATTTTATAATAATCACCAGTCTCAAGTTTCGAGTATTTTCAGTATTTTCAAGTATTTCGTGTCAAAACCTGACAATTGGATGCTACGAAAGAGTATTTTTGTCAAATGGCCTTATATGAATCTATTGTGTTCAGGGTATTTTGGTTTTTCTTGTAATTATAATTTTTAAGTTTTTATTTTTATCGTTATTAATGCCCCCTCCCCCTAGTGTCTCAGCGGTATGTCTGCAGAGTCACAACGCTAAAAACCGGGTTTGGATACTCGTGGTGGGCGTAGCACAGATAGCCCATTGTGTAGCTTTGTGCTTAACAATAAAGAAACAAATAAAATCACTATTCATAATTGAATCTATACGAGTCGCTTACACCTCTAAATATCTGTGGTAATAAGTTATTGAATTTCTTGTTTAAACTCCAGTTTACTATAGCAAGCAATGACTCTTGTGAACTGTAAGAGAAATTACTGTCGTGTGAAAACCAGATAAACCAGTTTGAAATTATATTTACTTATTAATGCTTCAAAACTATTTGTGAAATTATTTTCTAAACGAAGTGTTTTACAGAATACTATGATAGTTGATTTAACTGGACTAAGAATTGGCTTATATACTGCAAAGTATTCTGATTCTGTAAAATGTAAAGCGAAGTATGCATGGCCTAAAGGAACATGTGCTCAAATTTGTCATGATAAATGCCACTGTAGGGGAAAAATAGAAATGAAAGCTTGGAACGTCAGTCATCTGAGATAAAACACTCCACCGTCAACTCAGCTAACCAAAAAACTAACAAATTGTGGATAATTCTTAGGTCAATGACACCACAAATCGTCTTGGTGATGCAGTTGTTTATCAAACGTAAAAAGTGGCTGGATATCTTTGATCCTAACAAGTCGTTAAACGTGATTACAGGCAGCATGAAGGCGAACATTATAAAAATAAAATATGAATGAAAAGATGAATATAACATGTTCATAGTTTGGTCTGAAATGTTCGAGTCACGCAGTTTTATATTTGTGTGTAGCTATTTAACCCACTGTATTTTCTGAACTATTTTTTTATTACAACCATTCTCATTAAGTTAAAACAAAATTTTTGGTTTTATTTTAGTCAAAAACTTTTTATAATTTTCAGTGGTACTAGTTTTAATTGGTCTATTTGAGGTACTGTAAACGTATACATTAGGACTAAGTATTGAATTCAAAAAGTCTGGATATTTGCCCTTTCTGATTAAACGTAGTTTTATCTTAAGCACCGCTTGAAACATCTTCTAAACATCTTCTGTTCATTAATATATTTCGGTAGAATAAATTCGAAGTTGCTTCAAGGAATATATACTTTAACTTTAGATAATGATTGGAAAGCAACGATTTTAGACTAATTGGCCTAGAGTAATAAAACACTTCCCGGTCACAGCTTAGCTTGTGTGACGTATGTGCTGCCCTCTGTAGTGCTAATAATATAGTACTTCTGTTTGATTTTTCTATGAGTTTATAGAGAAAATTTATAGAGATTTATATATTTACAGAGAAGACAGATTTGGGTTGATATACTGATAGTTGTATACTATATACTGATAGTTGTATACAAATCTTGATTTCATATGTCTAATTCTCTAGAAATTATACTAATACTCCAGAATTCCAAAAACCCACTTTATTTAAGAGCTTTGTATAATCACCAAAAAATCAGCACGACACATACTGTAACCAATTCCCACAGATTAATGTTACTAACGTTGAATATACCTAATGAAATTACATAATCGTCAAAGAGCTAAAACCTGAAATTAATTTTCGTATGTTTATACTTTTTTGTTACCTTCTGAATGATACTGTGAATTTTTATTATAGACAGACCTTTTTTTTTCATTTGATCGAAATAATAAATGCCCTAAATATATTTTTGTTGTTTCTCAGGCAAGCAAGTTCTCCATGCTGGTGAAGCATGCTCTGAAGATGTATTTGATTCGTCAGAAGAGGAGTACCTAACGCTAACAAGTAGTTAAGATTTTTCTCTAGATTATTTTGCCAATAAAAAGGAAAAATACAAGATTTTAAAGATTACACTCTTACCATTAAGTCCTAACTTAAGTTTGATCCAGATTGTGTTTGTCATATTAAAGAAAAATCAAATCTCTTACATTTCTGAATTACCTACCAAAGTCGTTGATCTGCCTTTAATTAAATGAACATCAATTTTCTGTTCAGATGTACTGTGTTCATTTATGATCTTTATGTTCGGTTCTCGTTAACTGTTCTGCTCTGCCATCTTGTATTGATTGTTGTTAACAGTGGCTTAGATAGTAGATTAATGCCTGCTTTCTTTCTTGACAACTTTAGCCAAGACTCCTAAGACGGGTGGCTGCCCTCTAATGGGAGTCTACAAGATGAAAGAATCGAAGCCACAGTTTGCTATGTTAGTGGCCAGCGATTCAGATGACCACTCGTGCACTGAGTGGTCAGTTCTCTCAGTAGCATGCACCAAAAACGATCGTCTGGAATTCCAAATGGAATGTTCGTCCGAGAAAAAAGTGAAAAGTAAGTTTTATTCGACTTTATAAATAGGCCGAACTTTCATGTAGAATACACTATTGCATAAAATTCATTTTATAAATCGATGAATTTCGCAGTATTTTTTTTTGTTGTTGAAAGGTATGTGGAGTAATGGTACTCAGTTTGGATAGATTTTTTCCCATCGTAACAATAAGTAAGTAAAATCCCATATTGAAAAATCACTGTTTGCTTAAAATCTAATTATTCTTAGTAGTGATGTGTACGTTTAATCAAGAATACTTATCATAATAGAGTATATTACATGTAATCATGCTAAGAGAGAGTGCTGAATGGGATGTAACATAATAGAGTATATTACATGTAATCATGCTAAGAGAGAGTGCTGAATGGGATGTAACATAATAGAGTATATTACACGTAATCATGCTAAGAAAGAGTGCTGCATGGGATGTAACATAATAGAGTATATTACACGTAATCATGCTAAGAAAGAGTGCTGCATGGGATGTAACATAATAGAGTATATTACATGTAATCATGCTAAAAGAGACTGGTGAATGGGATGTAACATAATAGAGTATATTACACGTAATCATGCTAAGAGAGAGTGCTGAATGGGATGTAACATAATAGAGTATATTACATGTAATCATGCTAAGAGAGAGTGCTGAATGGGATGTAACATAATAGAGTATATGTTTTACTCATTTATGATTCATTTTCTCTTTTTTTTTAGGCTTCCAGTGTGTCTGACTAAAAAGTAAACGTTGTTTTACTCATTTATGATTTTCTCTTTTTTTAGTTTTCCAGTCTATCTGACTAAAAATTAAACATTGTTTTACTCATTTATGATTTATTTTCTCTTTTTTCAGGCTTCCAGTGTGACTGACTAAAAAGTAAACGTTGTTTTACTCATTTATGATTTTATTCTCTCTCTTTTTTTTTTTAGGTTTCCAGTGTCATGGAAGTTGGGAAGAAAATGGAACACACTATCTCATTGCAAGTGTTCCGGAAACCAGGAAAAGATACTGCATGGTCTGTCTGTGACGAATTTTATTGCTCTTCCTTTTAAAAAAATCTGGTATTTTGTAGAATTAACTTCACCAAATATTTACACCGTTAATTTAATAGCAATATTTTCAAAAATACGAACAAAATATGACTGGTGCCAAGCTGGTTGAAATTTCCGTTTAATAGCCAACTGTTTGAGTAATATATTTTGTATTTTTTTTTTAGAAAGATATTGAATATCATTATTAATGTAACTTAAGATACGTAATTTTGGTATGATCGCTTTGCATCGAAATAGTAGAGTACTGTTCGACTTTCTTTTACAGCATATGTTTTAGGTTTTTTCGTAATATTCGCAGACCGAAGGTGAACTTGCATGCTTTGAAATGAGAAAATGATACAAAATTATCGTTAAAAATAAAAAACTTTACTCATCTGTTTAGAGATAGTTTGATGACTACGTTTTGGTTGCTTAGCGTTCTTAAAACTGTAGTTTTAACACTTAATTGTGCGCCTATACATTAGGGATCTGTGAAGTAGTGTAGTTGTATCGGCACTTAGAGATCGACAATAAAGGCCCGAAACTTTACGTAACTAAGAAATGATTAAGTCTAAGATGTATTTATTCCTACGTAACGGTATCACATTACGAGCGAGTGCTATATGTTTTAAATTTAGATGCAAAATGTAGCTGTTAGCTGATTATATTTTCATATTTTTTCCAGATCATGTAGATAGGTTTTGTGCTCTATTTTATTAACTCAAACTACGCTTGCTATAAACATATTAAGTATTCTATTTCATTTTCTCCCACTTTTCCCATAGGTTGTATTTTTATTAGTTTATCCTACTATTAACTTAATGGCGGTCCCTTAACAACCATGCTGCTGAGTCTTGTAAACTATATATATCGTGTTTTGTAACAGACACTTAGAATGAGTGTAATATAGTTGCCCCAATTATTACATGACTTGTCGTACAACTTAAGGAAGACGAACATTTATTTAAACAATTAAACACAATATACATAGTGTATTTCGTATTTTTAATAAAGTATTAAAACATACTTCCTTACAATTTTAGATAATTATTTGCATAAGGTTCAAGTTCATTTACTTTGTTTCACTACTAGCATACAATATCCGCGCTCCACTGCGGGATATTAAGGTCCCCTCATGATTCACAGAGGCCTCAATGTACCAGTCAAGCGTTTCCATTATCTCAATTGCTTCTATAGCTACCCCAATTGATTTGTCTATTGCCATTTCCCAAACCTATTCCAATTCAACGGTTTTTAAAAGCAGATTGTTTTAATTTAGCTTCTCAGATTCGTTTTTTTTCTTCCTGTGTTTATATTTGAATTCTTTTCATTCTCCTATTTATTCAATATTCACCGATTCGCACTTTTCTTCGCGTTCTTTGTTGCCGTTTATAAAACTTAGATTAACTTTTTTTAATTCTCAGATCTGTATTTTTCTTCCCATGTTTGTGTTGAAAGAGAATATTTGGCAGAAAATCTCCAAATATTACTCATTCAGTAAGTAAGAATTTTAAAAATGATACTTTTCTATAGACTTTTAGAAAGCAGAATTTTGGGGCTTAAGGGCAAAACATTGGCCCCAAATGTTTGGAGTCAAATTTAAAAAAACAATACCCAGATGCACACCCTCAGTATGCTTGCAAAGTTTCAGGTCTCTAGGTTCTTTCCTTTTGGAACTATGGCGGTCACATACACACACACAGAGGCTCTTTTATTATTATAGATTAGAGATGCCAGGATTGAAAGATGAGGTAATTAGTGTGGTGTGTTTATACATTAAGAAATATTTATATTATGAACTTTTAGATCTTCATCGTCATGAGTCATTTCTCAAGTCAGATAAACTTTGTTGTTATTAACGTGAAAAAAAAGCGAAAATCAACACTTTAAATCTTCTTTGTCATGGATCATTGTTCAAGTCAGATAAACTTTGTTTATGCATGCAAAGTCACCAGTTGTACCTTACAGAGATACTTATAACTATGCTTTTTCTCACTCTTTATTTACTAAACTAGAATTACAAGTAGTACGATCTATTCTCTTACTTCTTTTTTCGTACTACATCATTACTGACGAAGGTAGTACCAGTTTCAGATCTGAAAGCCATTCTTACGCTTACGATACTGTGATACTTTCACAGGCGTTTACAAAATTGAATACGTCAACAGAAATTAGCCACGTGTATATTTCACAAAAGTAATCGATTCTTCACTACGTATTGTATAAATAGGAAACTCAATAGAACGATAAATATACTAAAACGAAAATTAACATTATCACTGTATATATATTTATATTGGAGTTTCGATTCGGATGGACCTATTTTTGTTATTGAAGTATTGTTCTAACAAAGTTAGGGGCTGAACGCCAAAAGTTGGCAAAGCATTGAAAATTAATAGGCTTAATTATTCGTGATAAAAACCACGATAGATTGGGTGCTGTTTCTTCCACAATCATCTACTTTGTCCATTACTGCATATATATAATTAATGTTTCAAACATGCTTTTGGCAAGTAATCTAGCCCAACTGATAGGTTCTGGTACTGAACGAAAAGCCACCTTGACAGTGACTTGTGGAAGAGAAAAAATAAATCTGAAATCGTATTTTATACGCTTCTTATTCGCATATTCAAGAAAGTAGAAAATACATAAGTATTCTAACGATATCTTGAATACAAATAATTAGGCCTAGTATTACTTTAATACTAGTTAAAATATTAAAGAATCTAGGCAATGCAACATAAATTCATTGCTCAAACTTACCAAAAGCACTAACACTGTAGTTTGTTGAAGTATACGCTGCTATAAGTTCCTCAGTGGGACAACGATAAGTTTATTTACAGTGCTAAAAGCGATTCCCCGCGTTGAACACAGCAGGTAGCACGATGTGGCTTTGCTCTAAAACAAACAAAACGAAACAAACGTCGCCATAAATATTCAACTTAATTTTCTGCTTCAAATTGAGCTATATAAGATGTAGCAATTCGGTGATTTATTTTGCAGACTTTGATGGAAAACAATAACTAGTTAATAGTAATATATGTATTTCGATATTTCTTAGAATATTAAGCCCAGTAACTATTAGCCATAATTAGTTGTTTGGTTATCGTCGATAATTGTTCATTCAGTTGGAAGGGTTAAATTAAAAGGTTGTCAGGTTTTAGTCTTCTCACTATTTACGTAAATTTGTTGTGGTGCTTCGTAGGCTTTTACAGAAGAAGACAAAGTATTGTACTTGTCCAGTAGTCCGCAAGCTTGTGTACGGACCGTCAACCTTGAAAATAATGGTCAAGTGGTGTTCAGCATGACGAATATAGGTAAGTTCTTTTAACTTCCAACATCTGTATTTTAGTTTTCTTTCCTGCCAATTATACCTAATTATCCAAGCTCAGAGACTGACTATATTCGCCCGCTTATGAAAGTAAGTCAAAGGCTATACGGTCATGGTAATGTTTACAAGAAATAGATACGTTAAGATTTTATATTTGTTGGAGGTATTAGTTTTGTTTTTACTCTTTTTCTTAAGTGTATATGGTAGAAATTAATAAGTAATCTTGCTAAAATGTAAGAAGATAAAAGCTGAACGATTCAGATAACGTTTATAGACGAACAACGACAAATTAAGTACCTTCAAGAATATATATAGTTATTAATGAAAATTAAATTTTAAAAGCTGTTCTCTAGTATGTACGATTAAGCTACAAACATAATAAAATTCTATTGAATGAATTCATTCCAGTTTTCAAGTACAATGAAAATTGTATCTGTTATAGTAGTAACGTATGCTACCCCACAAATTTTCATTGTGGCGCTCAAGCAATGGAATGGCAATAAAAATTCACGAGAAAGATTAACAGTTGCATTATTGGGTGGTTATTTCTTTGATATTAATATTCAAAAACACATGTTACTACTTAGTTTCCTAAGTGCAGCTACTTGTATAATTTACAATGCAATATACGAGAGTAAACAAAACTGTTTAATCTCATTTTACCTGAAACATTTTTCGTAATCCCATCATTGTTATGTACTGATAACCTTAACACTACATGTATCAATGATGCATTTTTACAAGTTACTAAATTGCTTTTTGACTCCCCTTAGTTAGGGTATGACGCCTCTACTAGCTCACCCCCCCCCCCAAATAGCAAATTGTTTGCATTTTACGTACACTAGTATTGACCGGAACTTTAGAAAATGATTC